GGGAGGGTGCCATTCTGGGTCCAAAACGGCAGAACACTCACCACGGTGTGGGCAGGTGCACCTGTAAATCACCCATCACGGAATGGGAAAACGCACTGAAAGAATCTCCAAAACAAAATGTACTGAATCCAGCGCAGCCTCTCACAACGAGGGTGGGATCCTTAGACACTTTCCTACCGGGGGAAGCCTGCACTGCCAGGGGCTCATCCTCCAGTAGATAAATCCAGCTTTCCTGGGTCCCCCCCTTGTGTATACACACACACACACACACACACACACACACTGAATCCAGCGCAGTCTCTCACAACGAGGGTGGGATCCTTAGACACTTTCCTACCGGGGGAAGCCTGCACTGCCAGGGGCTCATCCTCCAGTAGATAATTCCAGTTTTCCTGGGTCCCCCCCTTGTGTACACACACACACACACACACACACACACACACACACACACACACACGAGAAAAACACAACAAAATGTAAGGAACACCTGTCTAGTTTCCGAAAGCTTAAAAATAAGTCCGGTAGCGCTGGCTCAAGCCTGTCATCCCAGCACTTTGGGAGGCCAAGGCAAGAGGATTGCCTGAGCCCAGGGGTTCAAGACCAGCCCAGGCAACTTGGTGAGACCTTGTCTCTACAATTAAAAAAAAAAAAAAATAGATGGGCGTGGTAGTGCGCGCCTGTAATTCCAGCTACTTGGAAGACTGAGGCGGAAGGATCGCCGGAGCCCAGAAGGCTGACACTGGGGTGGCTGTGAGCATGCCACTGCACTTCAGACTGGTGACAGAGTGAGACTCCAACTCAAAAAAAAAAAAAAGAAAGAAAAATGTGCCAATGAACGTACACTGTAGTCTCACTTGTAACACATCCAAAGTGAGACTGCTTGGAATTAGGAGAATGGTTGGAGTTAGGGGAATAGTTTGAGTTACAGGAATAGTTGGAGCCGGGGACTGGTTGGAGTTAGGAGAATAGGTGGAGTCATGGGAATGGCTGGAGTCAGGGGGATGGTTGAGTCATGGCAATGGCTGGAATTAGGAGACTGGGTGAAGTCGGGGCAATGATTGGAGTTATGAGAAAGGTTGGAGTCATAGAAATGGTTAGAGTCAGGGGAATGGCTGAAGTTAGGGGAATGGCTGGAGTCGGGAGAATTGTTGGAGTTAGGGTAAGGATAGGAGTTATGGGAATGGTTGGAGATAGGGGATTGGTTGGAGTTAGGAGAATGGTTGGAGTTATGGGAATGGATGGAGTTGTGGGTTGGCTGGAGTTAGGAGAAAGGTTGGAGTCATGGGGAAGGTTGGATTCATGGGAATGGCTGAAGTTATGGGTACGTTCAGAGTTAGGAGAATGGTTGGAGTTAGGAAAACAGTTGGAATTAGGAGACGGTTTGGACACATGGAATGTTTGGAGATAAGGGTATGACGTTAGGAAAATGGGTGGAGTCAGGAGAATGGGTAGAGTCAGGGGAATGGTTGGAGTAAGGAGAATGGTTGAAGTTAGAAGGGCTGGAGTTAGGAGAACAGTTGGTGTTAGAAGAATGGGAGTCATGGGAATATTGGAGTTACGATCGGAATTAGGCGAATGGTGGAGTTGGAGAATGGTTGGAGTTAGGTGAATGGTTAGAGTCAAGGGGATGGCTGGAGTCATGGGAATGGTTGGAGTTATGGGAATGAATGCAGTAGGAGAATGGTTGGATTTAGGACAGTGGTTGGAGTCATGAGAATGGGTGTAGTCATGGAAATAGTGGGAGTCATAAGAATGGTTAGAGTTATGGGTTGTTCAGGAGAATGGTAGTAGTCATGGAAATGGTCAGAGTTATGATTATGTTCCGAGTTAGGAGAAAGGTGGCAGTTGGGAGAATATTTGGAGTCATGGGAATGTTTGGAGGTAAGGGAATGGGTGGAGTCTGAGAAATGGGTGGGGTCAGGGGAATGTAAAGTCAGGGGAATTGATGGAATTAGGAGGATGGGCAGAGTTAGGGGAATGGTTGGAGTTATGGGAATGGTTGGTGTCATGGGAATGTTTAGAGTTAAGGGAATGGATGGAGTTAGAACTTTTGGAATCATAGGAATGGTTCAAGTCATGAGAGTGGTTGGAGCTATGGGAATGCCTGGTGTTAGAAGAATGGTTGGAGTTAGAATGGTTGGAGTCGTGGGAATGGCAGGAGTTATGGGAATGGAGTAGGAGAATGTTGGATTCATGACATGGTTGTAGTCACGGGAATGGTTAGAATCATGGGAATGGTTGGAATTATGATTATGGTTGGAGTCAGGAGAATGGAGTTATAAGAATGGTTGGAGTCATGGGAATGTGTGGAGTTAGGAGGATGGGTGGAGTTTGGGGAATGGTTGGAGTTGTGGAATGGTTGGAGTTATAGGATTGGTTGGAGTTAGGGGAATGGTCAGTTAGAATGAATGGAATTATGGGAATGGTTTGAGTTATGGGAATGGCTGAAGTTAGAATAGTTGGAGTCAGAGAAATGGTCAGAGTCACAGGAATGGTTGGAGTTGAGGGAGTGGCTGGAGTCCTGGGAATGGTTGGACTTAGGAGATTGGGTGGAGTCATGAGAATGGTTTGGTCATGGAGATGGTTGGAGTTATTGGTTGGTTGGAGTTAAGAGAATGGTCGGAATCATGGGAATGGTTAGAGTCATGGGAATGGTTTTCATTATGGGAATAGTTGAAGATACGGGATCCGTTGGAGTTTGGAGAATGGTGGGAGTTAGGGGAATGCTTGTAGTTAGAAGAACAGTTGGATACGGGAGTGGTTGGAGTGAGGAGTATGGTTGGAGTCAGTGCAACAGTTGGAGTTAGGATGCTGGGAGTCACGGGAATGGCTGGAGTTAAGGGAATGGCTGGAGTTAAGGAAATGGCTGGGGTTATGGGAGTATCTGTAGTTAGGGGAATGGTTGGAGTAAGGGAAATGGGTGGAGTTAGGGTATAGGTGGAGTTGTTAGGGGAATGGTTGGTTTGGAGAATGGTTGTAATTATGACAAGGGCAGTAGTTATGAAGGTGGCTGTAGGGTAACTCAGGTGGACACTAAGAACCACCGACATGATTCTGGGACAAAGGTTTCATGGCCCATCTCTACTGGGATATCCGTGCCCCCTTCAGCTCCTTCCACCCTCTCCTGCCCAGCGATCTGCTATGACCTGTGCTGGGCAATTGCTCAAGTGGGCATGTTCGGCTTCTGTTTCACTCATCTTCCTCACTTCCAAAGTTCACCTGACACTCGACATCTGGGTAGGCAACCTGCACATGTGTAAGTCCACACAGCCACTGCATCGCTCCTCTCAGAGTACCTTCATACCACGATGTCACATGGGTGAAATCAGGTGCACCAGCCCAGACACCCACGTCATACCACCAGAGGCTGAGCAGGCCCAGCCCACGTCTGTGTCTCCTCAGCGTGTCGGCACCTACCAAGTCCAATGACTGTTCCTCTCACCCCACCACTGCACAGTGGCCCATGTCCAACTGTCAGTACCAGGGACGTCACTGAGGTGCCACAGTAGTTGACCACGACTACACCCAAAGAAAGTCTGGCTTTACGTCTGAGTTGCCTCAAAGGATCAATAAGTGGGCCACAGGAAGGTACTGCATGGAAGACTCCCCAGCAACCGTTTCCGCCACTCCGAAGGGACATCGAGGACTCAGTGGAAGAGGACAGAGGCACGAATACTGGCTCCCCCTCAGGTTCTCCCCACCACCAACACAGAAGTGGGGCTGGCACACTGCTTTCACCCTCCCTTGGGACGTGAGCCCTGGCACCAGCATGGAAGGCTCTCTCCACCCAAGCCTCCCATTGGCCATCCATATGAAGCCTGCACGGCAACTCAGGGCGTCCTCTCTCACAGGGTCGTAACTCGGCCCCAACCTCCCTTCGCAACCCCACACCCCACAGCAGCTCCCTGTGCTCCAGCAATGCATGTGGGGCTGCAGCTGACCCACCTCTACCCACACCTCAAAGGAATGCCAGCAGTCCTAACGTCCAACACCAGAAGCCACCAGCTTCCAGCAACGCCACTGCCACCAAGCCAAGTCACCCTGTCTGCGGTTGATGCTGCCAGTGCTACCCACAGGTTTCCGCCTTGAGGGAAGTCCTACTGTCACTTCTCAACAGAGTCGCTTCAGCCAGAGCTCACACTGGTCCCTCCCACCAATCCCTTCCCCGGTCCCCAAAACCCAAAGCCTTCCCCCGCCCACCCACATCTCTCTCCCTGGAGCCAGGCGAGGCAGCCTCTCAAGGCTCTGCTCAAGCTGTGTCCTCTGCCCAGAACAAGTTCCCCAGACCTATCTGGCCACCCTCCCCTCTCCTTTCTACAGCATTCCTGTTCTCACTCGCCCCCACTCGTGCACTCTGTCTTCCAGCACCACCCAAGGTGCCACGGCTGCTACGCCCCAGGAAGAACGCCGGCTTCTCAATGGCAGACACCCTGTCTTGCTGCTGCCTGGTGACACGTCAAGCAATGCACAATCCCTGACAGGGCAGGTGATCCTAAGCACCTGCCAATGGGTCCCACCTCTGACCCTTCAACACCCAGTCCTGAAACCCTGATGTCCATGAACCCAACTGCTCATGTACTCAGCTACACCCAAAGAACTCACTTGCACAGATTCACCTCAAACACACGAGTCTCTTAGGATTCCTGCAAAAAACACCAACAGGAATCAAATCTTAAGGAACAATTAGACTCATTCAGAGTGGAGCCCATTCTACAACACCATAGCTTACACGGACATATCTGAATATCCAAATGCCACACCCAGGATGAGGGGGAATATTCTGGATTAGTAGAGCAATATGACCACCTAATCCAACGATGTATGGTCACTGACTTGATCATGGCTGGAAGGTTGACATTTTTCAAAATGAAAAGTGGGGAAGAAAAATTAATCTCAAAAAAGTAAACACAGACACACACACACACACACACACACACACACCCGCTACGTGGCCTGGATCAGGAGTGGAACGAGTTGACAAAACACCCTAAAACTAGTAGTTGTTTTGTAACACACTGTTTACTTCTGATTTGTCTAATCCAAAATAGTAAGAACGTGCCATGTAGCTGTGGTCCTTAACCTCAAGGCGAGTCGGTGGAGGTGGGACTTGCAGGGTGCCCAACGATGGTTTGAGCCCTCAGCCTGTATGTGGGGCACCACCCGAGAGCCATGGAGTCGACACCAGCCCCACACCACTCTGGGTCACTGCATAGCCTGAAGGCGCACGCCTCCTCCCGTGATAGGGTGAGGCTGCCGTCAAGCCCCCACAAGGCAGGCCCCTGAACGTGGCTGTATTCTCCACACACAGTACAAGACAAGCAGGATAGAGATGAGCATTTATTCACTTTACAAAGAGAATGGTATTAAACTGCCATTGACAGCTGCATGTACAGACAAGAGGCTGCACATACCAGGCTGGCTTCAAGATGCCTCCTGACGCTCGCTGGTGCCAGCTCGACCCACCGTGCACAGAACCTGCTCTACGACTGGTATTCAAAAGTCTCTGGAAAAAAGTTTTGTTTTACATATTCCGGGGGGGGGGGGAAGCCCAACTGCCCAGCCTGCATCAGTGAGTTTCTGGGCACACGTCCTACAAGGAGCACTAAGAAAACAGGGGCTCGTTCTTTAAAAAAAAATGTACAGATAACTTGAAAAGGCTTTTGTAGAGCTCCAAAATACATATGTATACATACATAAAAATCTTGAGTCAGATGTATATGTATAATCTTAAAGGTAGACAGATACCCTACCACTGCCAACAGCAGGTAATGAAAAGGAAAACATTAAATTACTGAATTATAAAAATATCTTCTTTGGAAAAAAATTCCAACAAGGTTATCGTTAATATCTAAAACCAAAGAGAAAAAATAAACAATTGTTCTTTGATCCATTAGTAATTTAAATAAAAATGAAAACCTCTTCAAAAGCAGCTCTAATGGAAGTTTTCAGAGTCACATGTCCCGAGCACCTGCATGTATCCACTCAGGAATCTTTACAGGCGAATCGCAATCAAGAAAACTCCTTAATATGGCTGATCTTTAGTATTTAATTACCGTAAATTTTTTGTTTTAAAAAAATATTTTACATGACAGCTTAAAAAATAAGTGGTTATTTTGGGGAAGCACTCCAGAAATTCCATCCGACTCGAGTCAGATTGCCACCATAGACAAGCTAGGGACGCCAGGAAGTTTTTAAGATCACAATCGTTTTACTCGTTTTTAGTTCCCTTCCTATTTTACGAAAATGAACCAAATTTAAAGCCTGTCACTAGTGCTGCTCTGCACGTGGACTTGACAGACACCAACCTGGGGTCCAAGTGGACGCCCACCACGGCCAGGTCTTGCCCCGTGGGAGGAAGCTTCACTTACGTCAACCACGCTAGGATGCCACGTTATACAAGGATGCCATATACTGGACACTCATGTCAGTACATACACTGCAGAAGTGTGTCTATACACTGTGTAAAGTTTATTAACATTTGAATGAACACTCTTATTTACACAGCCGGGTCTGGGGTGCTTGGGACAGCAGGGTGGCAGGGGGCCGGAGCCAAGCCGTGGAGACACGGCATCCTTGGGTCCACACAGACCACCTGCCCCAGGAAAATGTGGTGCCGCTGGGCAGGGTGAGCCAGGGCTCAGAGAGGTCCAGGGCTGGCCGTGGCCTTCACTCTTCTTCACTCCCATTCTCAGGATCCAAGTCCGAGTCTCCATTTAGGTCCTTTTCACTCGCCATGTCTCTGTCCTCACCATTCTCTTCATCCTTTTCCTCAGCACCCTCCTCTACCTCCTCCTCACTCTCATCGCTGTCTTTGTCACTGTCTTCTTCCTCTTCCTCATCTTCATCCCAGTCACCCTGGTGGAAAGACCAAGCGAGAAAGCCTTGTGAAAGCCTCGCCCACAGCGTAGGACAGCAGGCTGACTTACAGACAGAAACGAGCCACTCACGTCAGAGGCCTTGTCTGCCAGCTCATCACCAGACTCCTCTTCCGAAGACTCTGCGGGGAAAACAGCCAGCCTTAATCTTGCGAAAGAATACCCGATTCCGGTGTTAACAATATTGTTTATGTGCAACAAGCACCCATCGAAGACACAACATTAACGCACTTATCTCCATAAAACACACTCATATTATTCCCTCATGATCCCAGTGGGCCAGTAAGTACCCAAGCACACACAAAATCTCACGTTACAATACCAGCTATTTCAGGGCCACCAAACAGCCCAGGGTGATGAGGAAACACTCTCCATAAAACAGTCGGCGTGCAGATGGAATGGAAGAAACGGGAGAGTCAGCGTTCTTTTCAACACATGGCGCAAGTACTAATTATAGAAAACAGTAGCAACTGGTACATTAGATGTATGACAGTGGGGAAGAAACATCCCAATGTAAAAAAAAGTAGCACAGCGGGATCATCCTCTGCGCACTAGGGGAATACACTCCTCATTGGAGGGGAAAGGCAGTCAGCACCTCAGCCAGGCTCATGGGACATGCACAGCGTGGTTCCGGGGGAAGACAATGCGAAACACTGAAGCAACCCCACGACCATGTGCGCCAGGAACCCAATCACCCTTCAGCCCTCACGTCTAGGTGAGAGCCACAGAGTCTGGAGGAACAAACTAAATGAACCAAAGGCAGCAACCTGCAAGCACAGGGCAAAGTGTTCGAGGAATGAACTGCCCAGTCTCCTCTGCTAGGCCCTATCATGAAAAGGGGTTTCTCCAAGATTAAGACAAGGCCTGAGGGACGCAGCAGCCAGATGCAGTACGATGATCCCAGACCTCGAAGGACACTGCAGAAATAACCAGGGAAAGATGGAGGTGAACCGGCCACTGGAGGAAACCAGCACTACTTCTGTTAGGCATTATCCAGGCATGAGGGTGCCTGCAGTCCCAGCTTCTCGGGAGGCTGAGGCAGGAGGATGGCTTGAATCCAGAAGCTCAAGGCTGCAGTGAGCTATGATCATGCCACTGCCCTCCAGCCTGGGTGACAAGAGCCAGAGCCTGTCTCCTGAAAGTAAATAAATAAATCGCAGCCAGGTGCAGTGGCTCATGCCTGTAATCCCAGTACTTTGGGAGGAGGAGGAGGCAAGAGGACTGCCTGAGCCCAGGGGGTTGAGACCAACCTGGGCAACTTGGCAAGACTTCGTCTCTACAATAAATCAAAATATTAGCTGGGTGTGGTAGTGCACGCCTGTAGTTCTGGCTACTTGGAAGGATGAGGCAGAAGGATCGCTGGAGCCCAGAAGGTCAATGCTGAGGTGGCCGTGAGCATGCCACTGCACTACAGCTTGGGCAACGGAGAGAGACACTCCAATTCAAAAAAAGAGAGAGAGAGAGAGAAGTCTCACATCTAGCTCAGTCCCAGACTGAACTACCCCTTTCCCAGTGTTCTGAGCTGTCTACACTACCCTTTAGTTATGTTGGTTACGTACTAGTCATCTCGATCAGACTGACTGTGGCAGTTATCACGGTGTTTGTGTTCAAGTCACTCTTATTTTGCTTAACAATACTTTACAAACAGTAACTCAGTCATGAGTAGCAGCTGTCGTCTCTTTCTGTGTCCATGCACGTGTAGGGAAAAACAGCACAGACAGGGCTCAGTACCACCTAAGGGGATTCAGGCATCCTGGAAGTCCTGAAATCCAACCCCCTGAGGACAGGGGCCATGATACTACCGTTTTTGAGTCTTCTATCTCTGTGTGTTTACACACCTGTGTACGAATATACAGAAGACATTCTGTGATGTGATTTTGTAAAGTTGGCCTTGTTTGCGGATACAGTAAATCCCCTACATACAAACCTTCCAGCTGCAACCTTCAGAGATATGAACGTGAATTCTCATATCCGATCATGTAAGTCAATTTCCATGTCTGGCGTACACTGTCACGTGCACGTAACCTCTGCAAATGGTTGGGCTTCTGTGTACTTGACTATGCAGCACTATGTAGAGTGCAGTAGATCAGTGTCTATTTTACGCCCAGGATGTCCAGAAGCAAGCATAAAAGCAGAGGTGATGTGGCTGGTACTAGACAGCCAATTGTGCTTATTGGGGACCTAACTTTGTTGGACTTATGAGCATGCTCTTGGAATGAAGCTTGTTCATATGGAGGGGATCCACTGTCATTTTAAAACATTACGATGCAAAGAAAACAGTGCTCTGCGTCATGACGCTGGAACAATCTCTGGACCATATGACTTATCAGTTTTCTGGCAGCTTTCCTTTTTCACACTGACAGAACACACACCATCTATGTTAAGACGTCGGAGTCCACAGAACCAAGGGTCTCAAGGGTAGCAATGCTTCACCTACTAGCCTGTCATTCCCTGCACTCGAACACCACATGCCTTTTTTTTTTTTTTGAGTTGGTATCTCATTCTGTCGCCTAGGGTGGAGTACAGTGGCATGCTCACGGCCACCGCAGCCTCAACCAGCTAGGGTCAGATGATCCTTCTGCCTCAGCCTTCCAAGTAGCTGGAACCACACCTGGCTAATTTTTTGATTTATTGTAGAGATGAGGTCTCACCAAGTTGCCAGGGCTGGTCTCAAACCCATGAGCTCAGGCAATCCTCTCATCTCAGCCTCTCAAAGTGCTGGGATTATAGGCCTGAGCCACCATGCCAGGCACATCATACGTCTTAACACTAAAACACCTCAACCAATTTGCTACTTAGGATACTTGAGGATGATCTAACATGTTCTTTCCCCAACTTTTTCTGCTTTTGCTAACAAGATTATACTTCACTCATAAAATGCCTAAATTGTTTGTACACAACAAAAATGACTTGTTCCTTGAAGGTTTGATACTATCACCTGCAAAATTTCCAGGCATGGCATCTCATGAGGTTTTAATTAAGTCCATTTTAGAGTTACTGCCTTTTTCAGGTTTCCTAGTTCTTTTTTTAGTATTACTTTATTTTACACAGAGATGAGGTCTTGCTATGTTGCTCAGGCTGGTCTCAAACTGCTGGGCTCGAGTGAATGTCCTGCCTCGGCCTCCCAAACTGCTGGGATCACAGGTGTGATCCGCCACACCTGGACCCTATTTCTTTTTATTTTTAAGTTAGTTTTGGTCACTGATGTTTCCTTACAAGTTACTCGGCCCACCTTGACGTTTTAACACACTGGCCTAGCATTTACCTCACTCTTCTGCGCCTCACGCCCTCTCACTCCTGTGAGGCGCTCATGCCTTTTCTCCTGTCTGCTCCAAGGCTTGTGCCTACTTTTCCCTAGGCTTGCCTACTCTGCTAGAGGTTTACCAAAGCAGGACCTCACTTTGATGTTTTGACAGAAACAACAAACGCGAGTCCCTGAAGACCCACGTGCTCCAATCCCAGGGCCCAGGCAGGCCTTACCTTCCTCATACACCAGCTTCGCTTTCTGTTCGGGGGTAGCCGGGCTCTTGGGCTTCTCGGATGCCGTGACCTGAGGAGGATAACCAACACGTCCCAAGTAGCGCACAGGCCTATCCCAGTGCCACAGCCACCACCACACGCAACCAGCCCCAGCTAGCTAGCCCCGCCTCACCACTCAGTGGGGACCACACGGGGCAAAGAAGACCCTCGGCCTAGAGGAAGGAATGACAAGCTGGAGCCTCTGAGGCAATAAGCGTGTCATTCTGCGCCAAAACTTCAGGTGCATCAACACCTATCATGTGGTACTATATGGACAACTGAAGCCCGTAACTGGCCACACTGGCGAGGAATCGTCTGAGGAAAAGGTGAAAAGGGGCCTATAATCCCGCACCTTGGGAGGCTGAGGTGAGTGGATTGCCTGAGCCCGCGGTTTGAGATCTGCCTGGGCAACTTGGTGAGACCTCATCTCTACAATAAATCAAAAAATTAGCCAGCCGCGGTAGCGCGTGCTTGTGGTTCCAGCTGCTTGGAAGGCTGAGGCAGAAGCATGGCTGGAGCCCAGCAGGTCGAGGCTGCGGTGGCCGGGAGCAGCCACTGCACTCCAGTCTGGGTGACAGAGTGAGACTCTAACTCAAAAAAAAAAAAAAAGGTGAAAAGGGCACCCCTAAATGGGCTCACTGGCCAACAGATAACGTTTCCAAGGCGCAGACTGGATCTGACTGAACTTTCGCTTTCCCACTGAACTGGGGAGCTCCCGGGTAAACGGTCCCACTTCTCTCCACTCCCACCACACTCACAAGTACCAGCCGACACCATGCGACTGCTCACCTGCGTGATGAGAAGGATGAGCTTCCCATGGAGGTGCGAGAGCTTCTGGAAAGTCTTTACTCTGCTCTCCATTAGCTGGTAGAGCGTCCCCAGCTGGGGTACCAGGTCGGGCAGCTAGAAAGAGACAATCAAGGGACACCATTCACACCTGGAAGAGGTGACAGACAGGCCATCTTGACCTAGTCGGCGCACCACGAGCTGTGGTCAGAAGCCCCGACCGCAGCAGGGGCTGCTGCAGCACAGTTGAGTGCCAGCACCCAAGTCCACAGAGTCCTCCATGTCCTAACAGGGAGAATCATCATTTTATAAAAATAACAGCACATGGTCAGAGGCAGAAATTGCAAGGTGAGACAGAGCACGGCTGAGACTTCCCCGTGCTGTCGTTGCTTCAGGTAAGGCCAACCGAGTGGGCACTAAACGAAGCATGCCCAGGTGACAGGGGGCTTCCCTCTCTTGCTTGCCCTCTGACAGCCACACACGATCTGTCCCCACCTACGGCCCCGAGGGCTGAAGAAAGCTTTCCCAGCTCCCAGAGTCCAGCAGGACAGCGCAATCAATTACGAGGCTGACCCAGCAGCGCCGAGCCCAGCGCCTGTCGTGAGTCCCTGAGCCACGCTTGAGGAACGCTGGCAGGGCGTTCTTCCATGGGCCCCTGGAGAGCTGCCGGAAGCGGGCCCCCTCCTGGCCCTGACTCTCTGGCCTGCCGTCCTGTCTCTGATACCGCCGCACAGATGAGAGTGTTCATTCAAACGTGAGGAACTTTAAACAGCAGACAGACACGAAAGCGGATCAAAACCAGGCCCAACGTGACCACACCTCAGCTCACCGTCTCCCTGTGCGTCTCCATCCCGCCTGGGCACTCAGGAAGAGGGAGTGTCCTACCTATCCTCAGCCCTGCGCCCGGCACAGCACGCGCCAGGAGACGCTCTGAACATCTGCTGAGTAGGGAGCGATGAAGGCCAGAGGACAGAACGGCTGCGGGTCTGGGCCTGCCTGCACTCCCCCTCCTCGGTCTGGGCGGCCAGGACCTGGACATCACACACCACTACTCTGGTCGACCCACCTCGGGAGCTGGCACCACAGGAGAGGTCACCACAAGCCTCCTGGGCCTCCTCTTGCTTCTGAGCAAGTCGCCAAGACCACACAGTGAGGGCTGCCCCTGCGCCAGCCGGAGCCCCAAGTCCCACAAGTGCTGTGCCCACCCTGTGCCAGCCACCAGTCCTGCGTCCTACTCTGCCCCCGCCCCAGTGCACCGCCAGGACCCGCAAGCTGGGCGGCCAGCACCCCCTTCCTGCTGCAGGCCCCTCCCCTCCTAGCACGGGAGCACCTCTCCCTGGACACACAGAGAACAAGTTGTCGACCTCAAAGCAGCCTGACCAAGGTTTCCCTATTTCAAACCACAGAAGGCAAAAGGACCCTGAGATGGAGAACAAGGGGCAGTGACCGGGAAAGAGTCGGGTGAAAATGTGTTAGTGGCCAGGTGCGGTGGCTCACGCCTGTCACTCCAGCACTTTGGGAGGTGGGGGGATCGCCTGAGCCCAGGAGTTCGAGATGCACCTGGGACAACATAACGAGACCACATCTCTACAAAAAACTAAAAACTAGCTGAGCATGGTGTGGTGGTGCGTGCTGGTAGTCCCAGGTAGTCGGCAGGCTGAGGTGGGAGGAGGTCGAGGCTGCATGATTGTGCCACTGCAATCCAGATTAGACTCAAAAAAAAAGGAAAATAAAATGTGCTGAGAAAGAAAATCAAGGACTTTTCTCAACTACCCACTAATCTGTTAAGAAAACGCACTGTAAAGTGCTAGATAATAAAAGAAAAAAGTGTGTAACGTTATTTCTAGCTTAAACTATAACATATTGATGTGGCAAAGAACCAACCCTTATTATGACAGCTCAAACGGTTTCTTTCTGGTGCTGCTTTAAGATGCCACACTTTCTCTCCTGTGTTTGCACAGACAAGCTACAGCTGACAGCAGCCCAGCATAGTCAGCTGGTAAATACTTAATTTATGCCATTTTTGTCATATACTACCTTTTACCTCCTAGGACAAAGCAGGACAGATATGTTAGCATGTATGAAAACTTTTTTTTAAAACGGTGGGTTTTGTTGTTGTTGTTGTTGTTGTTATTTGTTTGTTTGAGAAAGCAGGATTTATTGAGAGAACAGAAAAGTTTCCACAGCAGGAGGGGACCCGAGGAGCTTGCCGAAAAACTGGTGAGCTTCAAAGGGAAGGTAAGGACACACACACCAAGCGACAGCTTTGCTGAGGTGATGTGAAGAGAAACACATCCAGGTGCTCACGTGCCATTCTTCTGTCTGCATTTTCACAAGTTCTCTATGGAACACATATTACTTTTAAAATTCAAGGAAAAAAGACCACAACAGTGACACATCAAGACAGGGTTCGTGTCGCTGCACTGGGGGGAGCACACAGTCTCCAAGGAAAGAATCTCTAGGCTGAAGGTCCGAGGGGGAAGGTGGTCTGGGCCAGCCACAGTCACCAAGTCCACAACCCTCTGAGGCAGGAAGGGCAGCACTTGAGCCCAGGAGTGTAAGAATGGCCTGGGCAACACAGTGAGACTTCATCTCTACAATCACCACAAAAAAAAGGGAAAAGAAAAACTAGTTGGGCTTGGTGACGCTTGCCTGTACTCTGTAGTCCCAGCTACCTAGGCCGCTGAGGGGGAAGGATCATGGGAGCCTAGAAGGCAGAGGTTGTGGTCAGCCATGATTGTGGCATTGCCCTGCAGCCTGGGCGACAGCCTGAGACCTCAGCCCCCAAGACGACACCACCACCACACACACACACACACACACACACACACACACACACACACACACACACGACAGCCTGAGACCTCAGCCCCCAAGACAACACCACCACACACACACACACACACACACACACACACACACACACACACACACACTTCAAAATCCTTATCAAAGCCAAACAGCTCTCACTCAGCAACTGCAGCTGAAAATACTCACTGTGGACAGGTAGGAAGCATGGACTGTCAACACACACTTTAGCCACTGGACCATTAAAACAGCACTGGAAAAGAAAAAGAAAAACCCAAGTAAGCGAATACATTCACAAATTCAGAATTAAACACAACTAAGCTAGAAAATTAGAAAATCCCAGCACGGCGAGTGAAGACCCGCCAGCTGCTCCGTGGAGGTGCCCGTGGTGAGCCATCGCTGGGACACCTGTCCTTCCCGTTGCCCACAGGCCGATCTGAGTTGCGGAGCTGCCAAGGGGCGGAGAGTGGCACCACCAGCAGGACAAGGCCCCTTCCTCTAACAAGTCCCGAATGAAAGTCATAGCTCAACCACGCCGGGGCAGGCGTTTTTACCCAAGTGAGTGTACCGATCTGTGTGTCGTGTTCATGATAAAATAACACCAGACAGAACCCTCATCTGTCCTCCACACCAACATTGCAAGGCCAGTACAGATCCACACCGCACAGGCTGGTCCTAACCAACCAGGGCATCAGCTTCCCTCAGGAGCTCGGAGGCCAGGCAGGCCCACAGGGAAAATGCTCAAAAAAGAAAAGCAATGTGTCAGACTGCACTGGATGCTGCCACAGCTTAGAGGCTTAGGAGAATAGTTTCACTTAAATGTCTGATCAAATTACCAAGAAAAAAGACTCACAAAGCGTAGTCTTTTAGCTAAATAATATGTTCACAGTGTCTTAAGTAGCAACCAGAGGCTGGGCGGGTTCTATGAATGGCAGTTTTACATATCATGATTAAGACTAAAAAATTAAATACGATTCATTATTTAAATAACCTGATAATAAAGTTAAAATGCCTACTTAGAAGTTTTCCGAAAGAAAACGACAATAAAACGTTAAGAATAAGAATCACTTCAATTAAGGAGGGCGCGGAGGGGTAAATACCTGACGCTCTTATTATTTAGAACTTGGGACGACATAATACTTGATTTCATGCTGTCAGACGTCACTACTTTTAACAGTCACCTCTGATCTCTTTATCAAAACAAAGCGATGCAAGCCACGCGAGCATCTTACCTATTGGGGTGTCCCTGCAGCCTCTTTGTAAGCTGAGGAAGAGAAAACATTGTTAGCAGCAGCTCGTCCCAGGCCCAGCCTGCCTCCCCAGGCCACAGTGCCAGTGCTGGGAGGGCACGCCGCTCAGTAGTCGGCCTCCAACCAACAGAGCACATGTGAGGAACACATGCCCACAAACAGAACTGACTGCCCGACAGAACTCTAGGCTAGGACTTGCATGATTTGCCAGAACAGGCAAGTCCAGAGAAAAAAACAAATCAGTGATTGCTAGAAACTGAGGGGAGGGAGATGGAGCTGTGATGACTCGGGGCCCGGAGTCTCTTTTTTGGGTGGCAATCACACACTTGTGAACATACCAAAAACACTAAACTGTGTACTTTTTTAAAAGGGTGAATTCTGTGCTTGTAAATTATATCTGAATTTTTATAAACACAAAGAAAAGTATCAAGGTTACACAAATTTTATTTTACAGTAGATAATATTCCAAAAACATACAACCAGGCTTTCCTAACATATGGCAATGCATTTTAATTTTATTTATTTAGAGTCAGGGTCTCACTCTGCTGCCCAGGCTAGAGGGCAGGGGCACAATCACAGCCACCACAGCCTCAGCCTCCTGGCTCAGGCAATGCTTCTACTTCACGCTCCCAACGAATGGGACTTCAGGTGTGTGCCACCACACCTGGCTATTTTTTTTTATAATTATGTATAAATGAGGTCTCACTATAATGCCAAAGTTGGTCTCGAACTCCTAGGCTCAAGCAATCCTCCCATCTCAGCCTGCCAAAATGCTAGGACTACAGGTGTGAGCCACCATGCCCAGCCTGACACTGTTTTGTTTTTTTTTAATAGATAGGTTTTTCCTACCAATAACAGTAAATCAGCCTACACTATTAATACCAAAAGTAAGCTCACAAAATGCTGTAGCACCATGTTAAACATATGTAACCCAAGTACAGTTTCTTAATAATCCTCTTTATTTTTAGGCCTGATTTTAAATCACTTGTATTCACTCTTTTAGAGCAAGCTTCAATGAAATTATAAATCTGTGTGTGTGTCAGAGTCTCACCCTATCACCCAGGTTGGACTGCAGTTGCACAATCATGGCTCACTACAGCCTCGGCCTCCTGGGTTCAGGTAATCCTTCCAACCTCAGCCTCCCAAGTAGCTGGGAATATAGGCATGCACCACCACACCTGGCTAAATTTTAAAACTTTTTTAAGCGACGAGTTCTCACTATGTTGTCCAGGCTGGTCTTGAACTCCTGGCGTCAAGAGACCTTCCCGCCTCAGTCGCCCAAAATGCTGAGAATACAGGCATGAGCTAAAGCCTAGCCTATGTGTTTTAAGACTGGGGGGGATCTCACTATATTTCCCAGGCTGGGGTGCAGCGGCTGTCAGCAGGTGCAGTAAAAGTGTACTAAGGCCTTGAACTCATGGGCTCAGGCAACCCTCCCACCTGTAATTCTGTACTGCCAGGCACAGAGATGAACCACCCACCTGCGATAAAGAAAACCGAAACTACACACGGTTTCAGGGTAAGCTTAGGACACTTCACAGCACATCAGTGGGGACTGGGGGCTGTGCGCGGGGGCTGTCTCCATGTGAACGACTCCCTGCAACACAGCCCCAGGGTCCCCAGGGAGCCAGACACATCCCGCGCCAGTCACCCGCTCCTCCTGCTGCCTCGGGATGGTCAGCGGCACGCTCTAGCCCCAGGTCCTCCCCACGTGTCGTTCGTCTCTGAATACAGGGCCCCCTGGACCCACAGCCCCGGCCCATGGGGACAGCGCGTCACCTCCTGCAGCAGTGGAATGACCGTGCGCAGCGGCAGCCTCAACACCGTCTTCTTGATGAGGTTCAGGTTCCGCGTCTGGAGTACTTTCTGCGAGAGAACACAAGGGTGAGACACATGCATCCAGGAGGACACCACACAAAAGCCACCAAAACGACTTCACAGACCAGAGAGGCCACTCCCAACAGAACTCAGCACAGGAAGCCTGGAGGGGGCGGGCCATTGCATCACGCCTGCAGCTGGTAGACCAGCCATCTTCAGCTGCCAGGAAGAGGGCTCCCCTCAACAGGCGTCGTCGTAAAAGGAAAGTCTCTGGACATTTAAACGCATAATGCCCCTCACAGGCATTCCCACACCTGCACCTTATGGGATCAGAACAGTCTCCACATAGGAGGAGCCAAACGTTGCAAACTCCAACTCAGAAGGCAAGTATTCTTTTTCAGGTAGGCATCAGTTCTTTGACAGAAGTTTAACCCAAGCAACCGATCGATCACCTGCGTGTTCAACTCAAAACTCTCAGCGAGCACAGCAATGGGAGACTCGGGAGGCAGCCTGGTGTGGTCCTTGCACTCAGAAGCCCTGTCCTCCAGGCAGCCCCTGCTGCTTCTCCAAGCCCTGTGGACTTCATGGGAGCGGGGGATGGGGACAGGGCTCCTCCAGGTCTGATCTCCCCTTCCTCCTGAATACTTTAAAGCCGTGCTCCCCCAGAGGGGCTGGCCCCCGGAGGAGATCCTTCATGGGGCAGCTGGCTGCTGCTGTAAAGGTCATGCTCAGGAGAGAAACGGCAGGTCCCAGAAGGCAAAATGCAGGTCCCAGAAGGCAAAATGCAGCTCCTAGAATTATCTCTTCAGAATTCCCTATGGAGTTTACTTGCTTATAAAACCAACTTTACTCCAAGCCCGTGCAAATCCATCAGGTACTATTTAAATGTACCACTTACATAATTAGTTTTGCTTTTTTTTGTTTTTTGAGTCGGGGGTATCCCTCTGTTATCCAGGCTGGAGTGCCGTGGCACAATCATGGCTCACACAGCCTTGACCCCCTGAGCTCAGGCGATCCTCCCACATCAGCTTCCCAAGTAGCTGGAATTAGGTGTAAGCCACCATATCCAGCTAAGTTTTTTTTTAATTTTCAATTTTCATATAACCAGATTACAACATCCAAAGCAAAATATGCCTTAGTCCACAAATCATTTTTGAGACAGGACATGCCTCTGTTAAATCTTCCATTTTCATGAGATTTTCATCCAAACCTCCAGATTTACTGTCTCAGCTGGACACACAGGGCAACAGTGCTTTAGGGGGTGACAGTGCTTTAGGGGATAACAGTGCGTCAGCAGGGTGGCAGCATATCAGGTCACAGACTACCACCCCAAAGGCACTGCTCCCCATTATTTACACCCAAAGCTTGAGACCCACAGGGCAGCACTGAGGGAGGAGGCCTGAAAGCCAGGAGGCCGCAACACCAGGAGTCTCTAAGGACAGAGCAATCACGACAGGCACTGCCCAAACCAGGACACTTCTGAGAATGAACAGAATCTCTGTTTGTAAGTCCACCAGCTGGGCACACACAGGAGCTCGATGCAGAAGGATCGCTTGAGCCCAGGAGTTCAAAACCAGCCTAAACAACACAGCTAGACTCTATCTTTAAAAATATATGTTTTAAATTAGCTGGGCACAGTGGCAGGTGCGAGCAATCCCAGCTACTCAGAAGGCTGTGGCAGGAGGATCGCTTGAGCTCTAAAGTTGGAGGCTGTAGTGAGCTGCAAGAGTGCCACTGCACTCTAGCCTGGGCAACAGAGTGAGATCATGTCTCTGAAAAATACATAGATAAAAAGTAAATAATTACACCAAATGAGAGGTATAGACCACAACGGCCACAGACAAAAAGTATGGCCTAGCCATTTAGAAGTGATCCCAGATCACGGGGCAGAAGAATTTCTAACAAGCACTTGGATACCTGGACGCCCATTCAGAAAGAGTCTCTGTGGTAACAATTTCCAAATTTAAAAGAAGCAAATGAAAGACACCATCCCAAAGTGAAGCGATAAAGAACAGAGGAGGCAGCACCAGGTACTCCTGCCAAGGACATACCTAAAGAAATAATCCTAACACCCGTAGCTGTAACTACCAAGAACATGACGCTAAAGACTTTTCTGTCACTGCCATGCCAGCAAAGCATGAAAATCAGCCGAATTGTTTTCAAAAGTACTGTCACAATCTCACATGCCCACCACCAAGACATGAAAGCTTCAGCAGCTTCACATCCTCACCGGTCTTTTGATTTGCATCCTTCTGTCATGAGCACACAGCGCTACCTCGCTATGGTTTCAATTTGCACTTTTGTGATACTTAATGATGTGCTTACTGACTTTCTGAATTATTCTATGAAGTGTCTGTTCAAACCTTCACCCATTTTTTATTTGAGATGAGTCTGATATATATCCTGTGTCTGATATGCCTGCGACTTGTCTTTTAATACTCCTAGCACTGTTTTTTCCAGAGCAGAAGTTTCTACTTTCGATGAGGCCTAAATCACCGGTTTTTCCTTTCAACCCTCTGTGCTTTCCCCAGCCTTGTTCAGAGCCACACCCTGTTTTTTTCTGGAAGTGCCGTGGTGCCAGGTTCTGTACTCAGGTGTAGGTCATTTCACACTGCCTTTGTCTATGGTGTGAAGACTGAGAGCCACTTCTTTCCACCTGCACATGGTCTATTCCTGGAGTCTATTTTGGTCCCTTCCTCCATATTTATTTTTTCACCAACATCAGTACCTCAACTCCTACAGCTTTATCCTGAAATCAGAGAGGGTCCATCTTCCAACCCGTCTATCGGTTTCTATAATGGTGGCTGACAATGACTACTGGATTTTAGGAATGGGCTAAATAGATTAACTTGGGGAGAATTCCTCGCCTTAAACAAAATGACATGTTCTCATCCATAAGCACAGTTTAGATTTCCATTTGCTGATGTCTTCTCAACTGTTTGTAAATGGAGCTTTCAAAATATATTTAACTCGGGCTGGGCGCAGTGGCTCAAGCCTGTAATCCCAGCATTTTGGGAGGCCGAGGCAAGTGGATTGCTTAAGCCCACGGGTTTGAGACCGCCTGGGCAACTTGGCGAGACCTCGCCTCTACAATAAAAAAAATAAAATAAAAAAAAATTAGCCGGGCGTGGCAGCGCACGCCTGCAGTTCCAGCTACTTGAAAGGCTGAGGCAGAAGGATCGCCGGAGCCTAGCAGGTTGAGGCTGCGGTGGCCAGGAACATGCCATCACACTCCAGTCTGAGCAACAGAGTGAGACTCCGACTCTTTAAAAAAAAAAAAAAAACTTAACGCAAATAAAAAATTTTAAATGTTTTAAAGTGTTTTACAGATGCTATGAAGTCCATAAATAACTAGACTTCTTTTGCATAAGCTACAGACTCTTCCATGGGTTCCAAGTCCACCTTCCTGAAAACACCAATTTCACGTCACATTTCCCATGGCAGGCATGATGAGCCTCCTGAAGGGCCCATGTTGACCGACCTACCTCTGCCCATTTGCTTCTTTCATACCTATTTTCAACGCCCCCCTAACTACGTATCACGTATACTCATAAGGGAGCTTTTGGGAATGGGGAAGACGTTTTTTTTCAGGGGGAAATTTTCTATTTGCTTCTTTCTTTTTAGAATAGGAAGGTGTAAATGTATAATCACCTACACAACATACTATAAGGAGCATCCATATTTTATTTTAGAAAAGGGTTGTTTCAAGTCTGGCACTGACTCTTGAAGCGCAAGATTTTTCATCTTCCAGTAAGCTTCCTATTATTTCTACCTAAGTAACCCAAATAAAACATTTACGATTCAAGAAGTACCGTCGTAAGCAGTATGCTGTCCTCTCGACAAGCCTGCAACAACCAACAGAAGTTGCAAATTAGCATCTTTGACATGTTCTTGCCAAAACGGATTTGAAGGAAATGAAATCTCTTTAAGCTGCTAGAGCTAACTCGATAGAGACCCAGACCGCCAGGCTTGGAGACCTCACCTGTGCACAAATGCACAGAAGCACATGGTGAATGACGCCATAAAGGCGCAGCAGGCCCAAGCCCAAGCGTGGGCTTCTCCACACAGTAAACTGCAAGGAGGCAGAAGGGGCACCTCGCTGGGATACCGTTTTGAAGGAACCAGAAAGAAACATTTTAGAGGTTTAGGAGGCGACAAGGGAAGTGTAAACACTAAGCACACCCGACAAGTTGAAAGAGTCACTATGTGCTTTCCAGATGCAACAATGGATGGTGGCTGTCTGCAAGAAGGGAGTTTTCAAGCTGAAAAGGGATACCTTGATGAATGACACGAAATGTGATCGCCTCTGCCTCTCCGTAACCTGCAGGGTGGGAGCAGAGAGGAATCTGCGCTAGCCTGCCTGGCTAGTGCTGCTGGTCACACTGGAAATCAGGTCCTGGGCTCATAGGAGTCCACAAAACTAGTCTAGGCATTCTAAAATGCTACTTAACGAGAAAGGAAAAAAGAACTACCTTGCTCCTGACTCATGTGTGCCTGCCGAGGAAGGCTTCAAAAGACGCCTCACAGGCAACGAGGGTGGTGAGTCTCACCTCGTTTCAAAAACACCGCCAAGGGTTTCCCGCAGTGGCTTTTCCACCAACCCCTCCCCCCAGGTTTCCATGCCACATGAAATTAGAACACACAAACATTCACAAACAACCTGAAAGGCAACTTTAGGTCTAGACCTGCAGGTTTCCTCTCTTGTTTCACAAAATCACCTTTCATGCAAATATAAGACATTCCCATCCGTTCCAAATCAAGGCAGAGATGCTACTCATAGGCATGAATTTACACCACACTTATGCTGACTGGCTCCATCACACTGCCATCAGTTATTAGAAGTACATGCTTGTAACAGATGCTTACTACTTGGATCTCATCAGGCAGTACTTGTATCCAGCTGTGGCTCCCACTTAAATTTTCTAGACAGACCACTGTCAGACGGCAGGATTTAAGAGGACCAAACAGTCACCAACTGACATAAAACCATCAATGCCTCCCTGTATGCAAAGTTCCTAGCACCATCACAGCTAAATAAATCCCAACCCTCTTGGCTTTTCCCCAAACCTACCCACTGCCCAGGTTTGACCTCACCACCACCCCCCTCAGCCAGGGAGAAGTAAGTTTCTGGAATCCAAAGTAAAAACTCAGGAACGCATTTTCCTACAGAAAAAAATATAAATTAAGATCTAGAATGTTGAGTATCGTAGTACAGCTACACTACGTTCACAAAGACTTTCGTGCATTAAAAACCCTACCAAGCTAACAATTCAGAACAGTATTTCTATAAGATGCATTCTAGGTTCAAAATAATTCAACATAAGACCTTGTAGGCTGGTGACTGCATAATGCCACCAAATGATACACGTCTGACTAAACACAAAAGACTAATTCCAAACAGTCCCCTTCATGACAGCTCTAGCTGTGAATGTGCTATGTCAATCACTTTCTAAGCAATATCAGCCATCTTAATTCATCTAAAAACCGCTATACTTACATTTAGCATTTCAAGATCGTTACTCTCTAAGCCCTGTGCAAGGAGAACCGGAAAGCTATTGGTCTGGAGAAGGTTGTCTTTTCCTTTTTTTGTATCTATATCCATTGCTCCCAGGCGCTCTTCGATGCTAACCTGTGGAACAGAGGTGACGCATTAACGTTACCAGACAGGAGACAAGAACTGCGGACCGACACACACTTTGACCTTGGAAAGCACTAGCATGCTCATTATCACTCCAAGAGAACCTCATTATCACGATGTCCACGATGGAGACAAGTGGACCCTGCAATCTAAGCCCCTAGATTCCAGTGAACAAAGTCACTGTCCAAGAAGCATGTGGTTAAAAATGTGATTCATAAAAATCTTCCTATATAAATTCTCAGAAAAGGCAAGGACATGGCAAGGATCACTAAAACTCAAGGCAGACCTATCCCACCACTACCAGCCTTGGGCATCAACCCGGATCTGCCAAAGGAAACAGAGTATTAGACAGGGCAGAAGACAGCTACGTTCCCAAATTAGTGAGTTGCAAATGATGACTTATAACCTAGAATAAAGATAGCTATACCACACCCAGGAGTCCTTGATAAACATGATGAAAGGAGGTCTACCATGCTGCATTCAGCAAAGCAAACAGATGTGCTCTGGTAAAGCCCCCCGTTTGGGTTATCCTAACATATGAAAAACATAAAAAAAGGGCAGGAGGAAATTAAAGAGTTGAATCTAGGCCAAGCTAACGCAGTTTGGCATTTTAAAGTCAGATACCACGTAACTGAGGAATAATATTTATGAACAGCTATGTTACCCACACCCCCCCACACCCAATAAAGACATTTAAAGTCAGCAAAACTATCCCACAAAAGTAGACAAAAACTTTTAATAAGAATAAAATCAGCTAAAGAAAAACAGTTATTCCCCAGGAACAACAGCTAAAATTCTAGATTACTTACACAAGAACAAAGAGTGTGACAGCAATAGTCAAAAGAGGGCTCTGTACAGACATACAGTAACCACAAAGGGTTTTGGAGGGAAAAAAATGAAGTTTCCAAGCAGGGATGACTTACTGCTCCACACCACCTGGCACAAAACTAGCCGGGATTGCTCAGACAGCCAAGAGAAAAGAGGCATCACCGGAACTCAGCCACATGCGAAACCCCATGCACGTCATCATGGCAAGGCCCAGCTGGGTGGATTCCATTTTCTGTTACCCAGAGAACTACTCGCAAGTGGCCAAACAGCACCCCCTTCAGTGAATAAGGCATCATCTTCTCAGGCGAACAGCGGCCAAATGCGTTTTAGGTTACAAAGCGCTGGGACCTATGATGTAGGCGATAAGAGGGTCTGACAGCAGAACTCCTGGCCCACGTCTGGAGACTTGACTCTGACTCCGTCAACATACTTGGCAAAAGCTCAAGCCCATGGCCCACGCAGGTCCTTACCTCGTTGCCCCCTGACTTCCGCTTGCCCTCTCCCGGCTCTGGGTGTGGAGGCCCGGGCTTGACGGCTGCGTGGTGGCCCGGAATGCCCGGCAACAGCACTTTCGCTTCGGAATTCATCACGGGTGTCCTCACCTGTCCAGCAGGAAGGCAAGCGTGAAAAGGAATGAGACCTCAGTTGTCACGCATCCCCAATGAGCACACAGCTTTCAGAAGGCTCTTTTAAGTGGAAAATGCACTACAATTCACTTTTTAAAGATATCTTAGTAGAAAGTTGGAAAATAAATGTGTAAATGATAATCTGAATGCTCATGGTTTTAAAGATTACAACACCACATAAGAGTAAAAAAAAAAATCAAGAAAAATAAAATCTACAATTACACAAGGACACAATGATTTTTAAATGTTAAAGAATGAAGTTACACATTTCGTGACTACCTCCAGAATTCAATCTTTGCCAGAAATGCTCAGACAGCCAAGAGAAAGGTGTCATCTCTGGAATTCAGCCAGCAGCGAAACCGTATGGATGTCATCATGGCAAGTTCTGGCTTTCCTTTTCTCATTAAACAACCCAAAAGAGTGTCTCCATATGGGCACCAAGTTTCATGCAAAACAGAGCACCACAGTGACACCTTTCTGCTGTGTGGGGAACCTTCCAGCCCCTTGGGATTTTATTACACCCTGAAGTACAGTATTCAGAGCTATGTCTTTTAAGTCCTGGGACTTATCAAATCACTTATTCATAAATGCGCTACTGATACACATTCCCGTTACTTCCTGGCTCAGAAGTAGTGCATGGTGGAGGGGCTAAACCCAGGTCTTCAGCTGCCAGTCATCCACTCGCTCACACCCAACAAGCCAGAAAAGAGAGGTTTTACAACAGCCATATCTAAATGTATAATCCTACAAAGTGTGTAAGACAAGATCATTAGAGGTGTTAAAGAAGAAAAAAGATAAAGTCCATTTAATCAAAATATTACAAGAATTCAATTCACCAAAAACAACAACAACAACAAAAAATGCTTTTTCCTTACAACACCAATCTGCAACACACTTACCTTTGTTATGGCTGTTTCTACCTTTGGGGCCCAGCAGTTTGAAAGATCTCTTACTAAACACATATGAGGTTCTTTGGAGTTTAAAGCCTGGGAATTCATTGTTTAAGAGAAAGACAGGAGGCAAAAAAAAAAAAAAAGAGAGACAGCATCAAACAGAGCAACTGGGAATAAAAACAAAATGGAAAACAAATGATGACCTGTGCATTTTTGGAAAAATACAAGATATGGAAGGCATTCACACTACACCGTCAGCCGTGAGTTAACTCACTCAGACTGACAGCGAGGAAGAAAACTCAAGACACTGGACTCAATGTCAGCTTTCCTCGGTTATGAATTGCTTGAATTTTGCACATTTCTAGTTTTAAAGGTCAACGGATTTCTTAAATGTAACAGATTTTAAAGAAAACCTTAGTTTACCATCCTTGTAAGTAACAATCTGTGCTCAAAGTAAATGGTCATGCCCTAACATTTCCTACTGTGCCCCTTCTCACAAGCAAGGCAAAGATAGCACTGCTGACCACCCCAGGGCTGGGGCGGATCTGTGTCTGGCACAAGATGACGTCAGGTGTGGCCAACTACCTCAGTGCCAATGACAGTGAAGGCCATTCGAAACTCTATGTGGCCACACCGTCACCACTATCTGGAAGGACACGAGACAGGCAGGCAGCCCAGGCCGCATCTGGAGTGGGGTTCACACACAGAAGGGCACCCAACATGCTGCTCCTGCTTGTGTTCAGCTGTGTGCATGTGTGCTTGCCTGGGCATGCCACATGCCACGCAGGCTCACTGGGGCCTTTGACGTCACAGTCTTGCAAATGTGAGGTAACTAACCTGTTGGACACGCCCATGGTAACTTGCAAGTCTCTGCAGTGAAAAAGGTGAGATCACTGCACTGCCCACATTTCCACTGAAGACCCAATGGGTGCTGATACCAAGGCTCTTATTAGAAGATGTGCATCTTGTGTACGGAGCAGAATCAGCAGAAGCCACACCCGCTGGCCAACGAGTAGACACTAGGAGTGTGTGGCTACTGCGCATGTGCTGCCCATGGAAAACGCACACCAGGTTTCCAAAGCATCATGCACGGCAGACCAACGACACACATCCTAGGTAACGCTGTACACTGGCCAGGTGCCACAGAGGTATTTTGCCTATGCTGGCTGGATTACACAGAATCCTCACAAACTAAAATAAGTCACCCACCCAGTGGAACATCCTCTCGTGAAAGGAGAATGTGCTACCTCTTCTAAGGCCCCGAGTCAATCAGCGCCTGCATTCTTAATGCCCCTTCCCACGGACACGCGGAGGCTCTCGGCTCTCCTCCAGGGAAGCAGCTACGTACCACTCGCTCCACAGCAGGCTGGAACCAGCTGCCATACACCAGCAGGAGGGACAACTTGTCAGGGCCAAAACCAGCAGCTAGAACAGGGATGGGCTTTGGTGGTGACTTCTTGCCTTTCCCAGGGGTTGCGATCTGAATCGTGCAGTTTGAAGTCAAAGGCTTTTTGCAGTATCTAGAAGTGGGGAGAAATGAGTTTACTTGAAATCACACCTTATGTTAGTCCCTCGAAGCTGACATGGAGTCATGAAGTGTGACCCTCCTGTCGTCTCCACACCAGCATCAAGGGTGGCCAGGGTCCGCAGAGCATGAGTGTTCTTTCCAGGACCTCACTACCCCGCCAACACTCAAGCCTCACCATCAAAACCGGCCCTGAGACCCACCCTCCCCACAGGCGCCAGAAGCCCTCAGCTCCCAAAAGACACCACCACTCCCCCATCCTGAGGCCCAGTCCTGTCTCCAGTCGCTCCCAGCCCCTCACATCCTAGGACCTTGGAGACAGTTCTGGCACCCAGCTGATGTCCTCGCTCAGGGCTCTCTGCCCCTCGTGCCTGCAGCGCCCAAGTGTAGCTCTGCCTCCCACTCCCTCGTGCCGAGGCCTTGATCATGACTTGAGCATACTCCTTGCTCTGACACTTCAATACAATAGTCTATCCTTCTTTTGTCCCTAAAATCTTAGCAATGTTGGCACCAGACACTAGTCACTGCCTCCTCCTGCAGCTATCCAATGATCCCTGGGTCACTTCCCCACATTTCTTCAAGAGTTAGGGCTCACCGTCATTCTTCCCAATGCTGCCCCAAGTGAGTTCCTTTCTCAGTGGTTTCTGTGCCCAGGATCCAGTCTGACGGAGACTGCCGACACCCTAGTCTCGGGTCCTCCCTCCAGCCACCATGGCCATCACCGATCTGAGCCACACACTCCGCACAGCCTAGACAGCTTCTCAGCACATTCCCAAGGACACATGCCCTCCATAGTCCCAGTGTCCAGGATCCTCACCTCTCCAGGCTGCTCCTAGCAGCCTGACGCCACAGCTATCGCCAGACCCAGGACAGAGGCTCTGTTCTGGCCTTTCCCCTCTACAGTCTATTCTCAACAGAATGACTAACACTTAGGTCAAAGCTCCTCAATCCTCTGCTTAAAATCCTTCAGCAGCAGCCAGGCACAGTCCGAGACATCCATACTCACTTTTTAAAATAACTTTAAAAAAATGACTTCAGAGACCGGGCTCGGTGGCACAGCCTGTAATCCCAGCACTTTGGGAGGCCGAGGTGAGTGGACTGCCTGAGCCCGCAGGTTCAAGACCCGCCTGGACAACTTGGCGAGACCTATCTCTACAATAAATCAAAAAAATCAGCCAGGCGTGGTAGTGCACGCCTGTAGTTCCAGCTACTTGGAAGGCTGAGGTGGAAGGATCACCAGAGCCCAGCAGGTCGAGGCTACGGTGGAGCGGCCAAAGGACTCCAGTTTGGGCGACAGAGTGAGACTCCAACTCAAAAAAAAAAAAAATGACTTCAGAAATTAGAATAAGCTGGCTCTACTTTCATGGGAAAAATGTGTGTTAAGTCTATTATTAAAAAGCTACGTTACATGTCTAACAGAATATACACTAGGTTCTGACAGTTCAAATGAAAAATAAGCCAGGTTCGGTGGCTCTGCCCGTAATCCCGCACCTTGGGAGGCTGAGGTGAGTGGATTGCCTGAGCCCACGGGTTCGAGACCCGCCTGGGCAACTTGTGAGACCAC